AAAAATTAGAAATTGAGCTCCCATTTGACCCAGCAATACCACTCCTGGGAATATATCCCAGAGAGGCAAAAATGTATAGTCGAAGTGACATCTGCACTTGTTTGTTCATTGCAGCACTCTTTACAATAGCCAGAAACTGGAAGAAACCTGAATGCCCAAGAACAGATGACTGGTTAAAGAAACTTTGGTACATCTACACAATGGAGTACTATGTAGCTGTTAGAAAAGATGAAGTCATGAAATTTACATACAAGTGGTACAATACGGAAAGTATCATGCTAAGCAAAATGAGTCAGAAAGAGAGGGATAGACATAGAAAGATTGCATTCATCTGGGGGATATAAAGTAACAAAGTATGTGATTAATACCCAAGAATAGCTGAGATCAGCACCAGGAGGATTACTCCATAACTTAGAGGCCAGCCGGGTATCCTAGAGGAAAGGGCAGTTCAGATAGAGAAGGGAGCACCAAATAAAGGATGTTTGGAGGATCCTCCCAGGAGGGGAGATGCATGTCGAAAGTAGACTATGGACTGAACATGTTTGCCACTCAATGCCTCTTTTGCAGACCACAACACCCAAAAGGAGAGAGAGAACACAGGGGATTGCCCTGCCACAGAAACGGGGGATGGGGGGATGGGGGTGGGAGGGATATTATCCGTGGTGGTGGAAAATGGGCACTGGTGGAGGGATGGGTATCTGATCATTGTATAATTGAAACCAAAGCACAAAAAATTGTAAATCTACAACTGTAAAAAAAATAAAATAAAATAAAGGGAAAAATGGGTCAAAAAAGAGTTTTTGTTGATATAAACTGGCAAAATAAACTATGACAAAGTTGTTGAAACCTAAGGTGGTTAGATGTTACCATATTTGATCAAGGCTAGATTTGAGGCTGGGAGCTAGTATCTTCTTATCAGACATGGGGATAGGCTGCCTTAGCGACACACTTTTTTGTTTCTGATATCAAATAGTTAATCATATGATCTTGCATTTTCCTGCCTCCTCTGCTTTGATAATCCCATTTCTTTTGTTACCTGCAAAGATCTGACTGCAAAATGGTCTGGTAATGCAAACTGCCATTCACTGGATATCTTTCCCTGTGCTCTAGCTTGTACTCAGGCCACGTGGTGTTACAGAGGTCAACAAGACGTTCCTTTTTAAAACTATCTAGCTGGAGGCTCTTCCAATGTTTCAATAAGCAACCCAAAGGAGAATATTTGGGTATCGATGTAGAATTTCCCTTATCTCCTAAATGCCAGCAATAACCAATTGAAAGAAAGAAAAAAAAAACTAAAATAGGATAATTCCTTGGCAAGCTCTTCTCCTGGTAATTTCTCCCATGGGGCTCTGTCCCCTTCTGCCTGAACTGCTATGGTTCTAGAGGGTTCCAGTGCAGACATGACCACAACTGCATGCCAGCTTATCAGAAATGAACTGTTGTGGTAAAGGGGTGAAGAAATTTTTTTAAAAAAGAACCTCTGATCACATGACCAAACTATTGGAGTCTGCAGCCCTTGACTTCCAGATCCATTAAGCCAATACAATGAATAAGTGGGCTCCTCTTATTAGTGCAATGAATAAGTGGCCTCTCTTATTAGAATACTATGGGATAAACTGCCTTTTTGAGGTGGGGTGGGAGGAACCAGAAATATGGGTGGGTTGTGGTCTTTGTTAAAAATGCACAAGCTCTGGTCAAAGAATAGAATTTGCGTCCTTAAAGGACTTGTGATTCTAGCAATTTCCTTAATTCATTCTGTTAAATTTTTTCAGTAAATCAATATATAAAATGGCAATTCAGACTTGTCCTGGTTTGTACTGATAAAACAATGAGGAGAAATAATACAATATAAGGGAATCCTGGAAGGAGTGCAGGCTGTGGATGCAGACAGCCCGAGTCTGAAGCTCAGTCTGCCACAAGCTGGGCTCCAAGATGTTAGGCAAGTTATTGAACTCTTCTTCATCTGTAGGCAGAGATAACAATATTTCAAGGGTATGGGCTGGAGTGATAGCACAGCGGGTAGGGCGTTTTCCTTGCACGTGGCCAACCCGGGTTCGATTCTCAGTATCCCATATGGTCCCCCAAGCACCGCCAGGAGTGATTCCTGAGTGCAGATCCAGGAGTAACCCCTGAGCATCTCCGGGTGTGACTCCCCCCACAAAAAAACCCACAATATTTCAAGGGTATTTGGAAAGTTAAATAAAATTTTTAAAATGCCTCATATTGTGCCTGACACAGCAATGCTCAACCAGCCGTTTTCTTTTGTTACTACACATAATAAGTGAGCTCCCACATTGGAAAGGCATATTGGAGGGCTGGCACACAGACTCCGTCAGCTGCTGTGGCCCTGCCCGTGTGTCTGCCTGCCACACTGGCAGGGCTGCTGGGGCCAGGACAGTGGCTTGCTCACTGTCTGCTCCATTCTGGGACATGAAGCACTGCCATGTGAAGAACTTAATGACTGTTTAGTGGAAGTGAATTGATTACCGTTGATGACACGGGCTCCTGCCTCGAGTAGCCAGTGAGTCATGTGCCTTCTCCTCCTTCCTGTCTCCTCTTTCTATTTCTGACTCTCATCAGTGGGAGAGGAATCAACGTTTATCAAAGTGATTTTAAAAATAAAATAGAATAGACTGAGAAGCTATTTTCCGGGCTCCTTTCCACTGAGTCCGGGATACTGAGAGCAGGGCTGTTGTTTCTTCCAATCCTGCCTTCTCCTATGTGAAATATCAACACCGTCATAGGAGCAGCAGCTTTATGAAACATTATTTTTGAGAGGGGAGTGGAGGGAGAATGCATACACTTGTGGTGCTTAGGAGCTATTCCTGGCTCTGCCTCAGGGAGCCATATGTGGTGCTGGATATTCAAACCAGAGTCCACTGCATGTAAGACAATCTCTTAGCCACTTTGCTCTCCCTCCCTCTGGAGCTTGAGTGAGCACCTACTATGTTCCTGATGCTCTGCCAACCTCTACCTATCATATTCCTCATGCAATCACTTTCTTCAAGACTGGTATTATCCTCCCCACTTTACCAATGTGGTTAATTAAAGCCTAAAAAAAGCTAAAAAGTAATTGAAATACTCAAAAGTCCTGTGTTTGAGTCAGATATTATAAAGTCTATTTCAAAAACATTGTTTAGTTATAAGTATCCTATAAACTAGGCATTATGATTCCCACTCTAGATGTGAGAAAACTGAAACTCAGAGTTGGAAAACAAAACCAAAAGGAACCTAGTTAGTACAGAGGTTAAGGCTCTTGTCTTGCATGTAGCCAACCCTGCTTCAATCCCCAGAACCACAAATGGTCCCCCAAGTACCCCCCCATGGTTCCCTCCCGAGCACAGAGCAGGAACAGTCCTTGAGCACCAGGGTGTGGCCCAAACACCCTCCTCCCCACCCCCACCCCACAAAGAAAAAAAAAGAAAGAAAAAATCCAAGCGGTCCAAAGTCACTGTTGATGAGGGGCCAGAGTGGGGAGTCAGACCACGCTGTGCTGAGCTTCTGTGCTCCTCCATTTTCTTTCTACACGCCATTTGCTCCTCTTTGAGAGAAGTGTCATATTGAGACAGGCTGGCGCAAGCCCTGGGCTGGTTTGAGTGGAGGGAAATTGCACATGGCAGGAAATACATCAGTTCAAGCTGGCCAGAGACCAGGAGACGGGGCCGGCTGTAGGGCTTGCGCGAGAGGCACAGGAGCAATATCTGATGCCTCTACAGCAGGTTGGAGGTGTCAGGAATGATTCTAAACAGGGAAGATGCCGCCACCTTCTGAACCTTCAGAAAGACTTTCTGAGGAAGGCGTTGTTCTGATTCCCATTTTATAGAAGAAACAAAAAACCCAAAAGACAAATTGGCCAATATTACATATTGACATATATGTATCATGTATAACTTTTTTTTTTTTTGCTTTTTTGGGTCACACCCAGCGATGCTCATGGGTCATTCCTGGCTCTGCACTCAGGAATCACTCCTGGCGGTGCTTGGGGATGCCAGGGATCGAACCCAGGTTGGCTGCGTGCAAGGCAAACGCCCTACCTGCTGTGGTATCGCTCCGGCCCCCATGTATAACATTTTAATGAGCCATCTGAGGGAATGTTAATGCGTGCTCAAGCATTGCACATTCCAGAATTGTAATGATGCAGAGAAGATGGCTGGTTCCTCAGTCAGGACTGGACTTTGTAAAGCAAACACACTGGCGTGCTTGTAATGCTTTGCTGTAGGTTTAATTTTGCTTATTTACTTATCTATTTGACTTTCTGACTAAATTGTGAACTGCTTGAGAAAGGAATTATTTTAGTCATTTTATTTTATTTTATTTGGTGCCAGGCAATTGAACTCAGGATCTCCTACATGCAAAACATATGCTGTACCACAAAACTACATCTCTGACCCATTAGAATGAGATCTTAGTCATTTCAAAGTAAATATGCTTTGAGTTCAGATGTACTGAACCAAGTTTCCCTCCAAGACAACAAGGTGTGAGCTTGTCTATCTCTCTCCATCCTCACCTCTGATGGGAATTATTATTTTAAAAACAGGTAGTGCCAGGGTGGGGTTCAGAGTGATAGTACAGCTGGTAGGATGCTTGCCTTGCATGTAAACAAAGCGGTTTCAATCCCTGGAACCCCTTATGGCATTCTGAGCCCCATCAGGAGTGATTCCTGAGTAGAGAGCCAAGAGTAAACCCTGATCGTCGCTAGGTATGGCTTTAAGAACAAAAACCAAAACCAGGTTAAACACTTTGTACATAATAATAATCTGTTCACAGTTCTTCTACAAATTGTTCATTCTTTTAGCCCATTTTTTTCTATTGGTTTTGGTTTTTAAATTCTTTTCCTATGAATTTCTGTGGGGTTTTAGAACAAGTATTCTAGTCAATACAGTGTAAGATACATAATAGGCTCTCCTTAAATAAACGTTGAATTATTAGAATGTCATGCTAAGCACTTTGTGGATGGTGAGGCAGATATTTCAGATGCCAGCTCTCCCATCTCTCCGCAGGACACGGCTGGTCAGGAGCGGTACAGGACCATCACCACAGCCTATTACCGGGGAGCCATGGGCTTCATTCTGATGTATGACATCACCAACGAGGAGTCCTTCAATGCTGTCCAGGACTGGTATGAGCTTGCTCCTTTCTTCATTCCTTCATTCTGCAGACTCTTTGTGCAAACCTCTGTGTGCTTGACCCTCTGCTGTGTCCTCTGGAAATCTGGGAGCTTTAGACTTACCTTTTGTTTCCTGAAAAAGTTGATCCCTGGGCCCTCAAGGACCCCAGGCCACATCCAGGCCAAGTTTGTATGGATTTGACTCACAAAGAAAATCAGCACAATGCCCCACAATACAACATCTGAACAACTTCTCTCTCTTCCTGGTGCAAAACTTACAGGGCAGGAGGTGGTATGGGGGTGATGGGTGAGCAGAAGGCCTTGTGCCCCTGGTCCAAGGCAAGGTTGAGGATAGCAGAAAGAGAGGCTGGTGACTGACCAGGAACAGGCTGGTTTCCTGCTCCCTTTGACTCCATGGTTACCCTTTGAGGACTTTACTCCCAAGGAAGAGTTGCTGCCACCCTGTGAGGGACTTTGGGTGTCTTGGAGACTTGAGCTGGAGTAACTTTGCAGGCTTTCTACTATACCCCTGTTCTGAACAGCAGCTCCTGTGCTACGGGGCAGGCGTCTATCAGTTCTAGTGGTCTGTATTCTAAGCATCTAGGTTATCCTCTTCTTCCTTTCTCTCCTTTCCTTTAACAACTCTTCCCTGCAGTTTCCTCCTTTTTCCTCTTTGTTCCTTTTCCTCCCTCCCTTGTTCTCCCTTTTTTCCCCGCCTCTTCCTTCGAGTCATCATTTTTCTGCCTTCTTCCCCTTCATCCCTCCCTTCCCACCTCCATGGCAGAAGGATTGGTTCTTTACATATCTCGATGCTGCTCCGTGACCTCCTTCTCTTCTCCCTCAGCCCCTGTTCTTTCTGCCTCAGGGACACAGTGACTTGAACACCTGGTGACAGTTCCTCCAAGAATAGCCTGAGTTGCTAATCTGGGAGCAGAGTGGATGAGGAAGGGGACAGGTAGAGCAGCTGGGGGAGATGGGGAAGGTCGGCTCCAGTTACCTGCCTTCAAGACAGAATATCTCTCTTCCAAGCTGTGGTCTTTGAGCTTTGTCATTGGGAACCTTCATCCCCGCCCAGCTCAGAGCCCAGCATGGAACCTGGCCCTTTGCCAGCCCGTAACAAGTGATGGTGGAGTGAACTTGTGGGAGTGGGCTCAGCTTTAGGATCAATGGTGATGGTCCTGGCTGGATGGCTGTGAGCACCTAACTGAGGGACCCACCACTTGACTCACCCAGGAGCCAGAGAAGCTTTGTTATTAGGACATACCCAGTGATACTTAGGAATTACTCCTGTATCAATTGCTTGGGGATTACTCCTAATGGTGCTCACATAACTTTGTGGTTCCAGGGATTAAACCCAGGCCCTCTGCATGCAAAGATTATGCTCAACCCTTTGGGCGTCTCCCCAATCCTCACACTCCCAGATAAGGTTTTTAAGAAAGGATATGTCAGAGCTGGAGAAATAGTATAGCAAATAAGACTTTTGCCTTGCATATAACCAACCTGGGTTTGACCTTTGGCATCCTACTTGGTCCCCTGAGCACCACTAGGAGTAATTCCTCAATGCAGAGCCAGGAGTAACCCGTGAGCATTGCCAGTTGTCGCCCCCAAAGAGGATGTATCAGGGCTGGAGAGAGAGGGAGTACAGGGGTGAAGCCACGTGCATTACCTGGAGTCAACCCTGAATCAATTCTTAGCAGCCCTGAGCACTGCCGGGTGTAGCTCTAGAGGCCCGTTGGCTCTGCTGCAGTCGTCCACGTGAGCCCGAGCATACAGGGCCCAAGCAGTGTCGCACGCATAGGCTGGCTTGGTTGGGACATTGCTTAGGAGACACTTCTCAAGTGTTCAACAGCAGCAAAAAGACAGACATTTGCGAAAGAGCTCTCAGGGCAGGGAAGAGAGACAGGCCTCTGCACTGGAACCACCAAAATGCTGGGAGAGGTTTGCACCTGGGGCTCAGGGCTCAGCATCTGGGCAGTGAGCAGGGAACATGGTTCTCTGTGTCCGTCCATGGCTGGATTGATTTTCAGTAACTCAGTGCTGCTGGCCCCGTGGAAAGGAAATTGCTCCTCGGAGCAGTGCAGAGTCCTTTCCCACCTGGGCTGGTGTCTCTAATGCCTTCTCTCTTCTTCTCTCTTTAGGGCTACTCAGATCAAGACGTACTCCTGGGACAATGCGCAGGTCATCCTGGTGGGGAACAAGTGTGACATGGAGGAAGAGAGGGTGATTCCCACTGAGAAGGGCCGGCTCCTTGCTGAGCAGCTTGGTATGTGCCTGACACATGTGAGTGGTATATGACTGAGCTGTGTGTGAGCATGTGTGAGATATGCACACAGGAGTGTGGAACAGAAGGGATAGGCATGTGTTTGTACTTGTGACATTAAGGGAGAGCTGTGACTGTAAATCAAGATCCTATGTGCTCTGCGTGTTTTATTTTACATTTGTCCTAAGTACATGTGGGGCTCTGTGCTGGTTTTTAGGTAGTTCACTATTTATGAACAGGGATACTTTGTTACATTAAATATGTAAGTACAAATTTATTATTGAACCTGACTTAGAGTTCTTTTCAGAAACTTCTTCTGCAGAGGATTTGAAGTGACTTATAAAAACTATTATAGGACATCAATAAATCAGCAGTGTGTGTGGAGGGGGTGGTATAGGTGTATATCCAAACCAAACCAGAGTCAGCAACACTGGAAACATGAAATCCAAACTACAACAACCAAATTTTAGAATGTGCCTGTCAAGGAAGCAGGCCAGGGGATGGGAGGGAACCTGGGAACAGTGGAGGAGGGAACTTGACACTGATGGTGAGATTAGTGCTAGAATATTATATGTCTAAAACTCAACTATCAGGAACTTTGTAGATCTTGATTCTTTAATAAATTTTTTTAAAAAATCAATGATGGAGGCCAGGGGGTCAGTGCTGTGGAGAGGGTGTTTACCTTGCACACAGCCGACCTGGGTTCAATCCCTGGCATTATATATGGCCCCCACACCCCACCAGGAGTGATTCCTGAGCACAGAGCCAGAAGTAAGTGGGGAAACACAGCCAGGTGTGACCCCAAAACAAATTAACAAAAATCAACAACAACACAAAAAAATGGAAATGAAAGGTTTCACACTTTCAGGGACAGAGATAGTAGACTGGTATGGACCTTGCTGGCATATGACTGACTCTGATTTGATCCCCAGCACTGTCCATGGTTCCCCGCACCCAGCCAGGAGTGACCCCTGGGCACAGAGTCAGGAGTAGACCCTGAACAATACCAGATGTGACCCCAAATCAAAACAAAACAAAACAAACAAACGAACAACAGAACCCTAAAAGAGTGTGTTTCATTCTGTTCTCTATTGGGTCTCAACATAAGATCACGTCAGAGAACCCATCCCTAAGATAGATGCGTGCTCTGCCGAGCTTCCACTCAGTCCAGGCTGTAGGGGCTTAGTAAATAGGGGGGTTGGGTTGTCTTGGGTCTCACTGTTCTCCCCCCATCCCAGTCACTGAGGATTATCCAGAAAGTACCTCCACTATCAGTGGTTCATAGAATAGTAAAGATGGGGTGCAGCACCCTTGGCTGATGTCAAGCTCTCCCTTTGTACTTCAACCCACGGACCCACCAGGGACTCCAGCATCCCCAACTTCGATGGGAAGTTTGGAGTGTTCTCTTCTGTTCCCCACACCCATGTCCATGCAGTTGGTGAGCCCCGCCGCTCTCCAGACAGCTCAGGCTTTACATCTTCTGCCTCCCTAGAGCTCCTTCGCTCTCATGCGTCCTTATTTATTGTTCCTATCCCCCAAACTCCTGAGAACAGGAAATGAGTCTTGTTTATCTTTGTACACACAGTGCCTAGCGTGCAGTCTGGCCCCATAGAGACTCTGCCAAAAATTTTTTTTTTATTTTGATTAAATTTTATGATGTCAGCTTCTTTATTTTCCTTCAGTCTGTTCCAGACTCCCTGAGGTCCCCTGTGAGGCCAGGTACTGGGCTGTGAAATTCGATGCGCACCTTGTCTGAAGGGCAGAAACAGTGCCAGAGAGATGTGTTGGGATGTGGCCACAGAAGACAAGGCAGATTCATCGGGGTTCAGAGGCCATGAAGCCCTGGCAAGACTTGAGGACAAATAGGAGCAGGCATGTGTGGAAGGGAGGCCGGGGAGGCAGGCCGTCCAGGCAGGAAACAGCAGAGGCAAAGGCAAAGGCAGTGTTAGGAGCTCAGGGACCTGTAAGTGGGTGTGAGCCTCGGGCAGTGTGGAATGTGCAGAATGATTCCAATGGTATATTCAAATGTATATTCAAATATATATATATTGGGGCTAGGACTGTACTTCAGGTGGCAGAGCACATGCCTTGTATATGTGAGAGCCTGAGTTCAATTCCCTGTACCATATGTGTTCCCCACACCCAGCATTGCTGGGTGGGCCGCTCCCACCCCCCCCCCCCCCCCAAAAATCCCCTGAAATGAAACATATAGCCAGCACTTACAGGTAAATAGGCCTCCATTGCTAAAAGATGGGTTCATTCTGTGTTAGGAAAAAATATAGTCAACATTCCAAGTTTTTATGACTAAGGTTTCCCACCCCCTGCCGGTTTGGGAGCATTTCCCTGTGGCTCTCAGGGATTTCTCCTAACTCTGTGCTCAGAGGTCACTTATGGCGTTGCTTGGGGTGCCATCTCCAGTGCTGGGAGACCGAATTAGAGTGGTTGATTGTGTGCAAGGCAAGAACCTTACACACTATACTCTTTTATCCAGGCCCATGACTAAGATTTTTCAAAGTGTGACTTGAATAAATATTCAGTGTTTACCTCATGCCACGCACTATTAAAGTATTACTTGTTTTATCAGTTTTTTAAAAGAAACACACCGTCCTCCCATTGTTCATCGATTTGCTTGAGCAGGCCCAGTGACATCTCCATTTTGAGACTTGTTGTTACTGTGTTTGGCATATCGAATACGTCATGGGTAGCTTGCCAGGCTTTGCTGTGCAGGTGAGATACTCTCGGTAGCTTGCTGGACTCTCCAAGAGGGGCGGAGGAATCGAACCTGGCTCGGCCAGGTTGGCTGCACGCAATGCAAATGCCTTACTGCTGTGCTATCACTCCAAATTAATTTAAAATTTTAAATTAAAAAAAGAAAAAATAGAATAAATGTCATTGAGGACAAAAAAGTTTAAAAAGTGAAGTATAATTCATTTTAATAGAGTGGTAAAACCCTCTGAAATATGTACCTTTATTATTTCTAAGTTGCTTTTTTTTTTCGACAGATAAGAAAATTGAAGCTTGGGGAAGTTTAGTAACTAGCATAAGCCCACACAGTGGAGAAAGAGTCAGAATTTTTATTTGTTTGTTCGGAGCCACACCCTGGGGTGTTCGGGGGTTTCTTTCAACTCAGTGCTCAGGGGACTCCCAGTGGTGCTCAGGGGACCATGTGCTGCCAGGAATCAAGCTCAGGAGCCCCATTTGCAAATAAATGCTCCAGCACTTTGAACTATCTCCAGCCCCATGAATCAGACTCCTAACCCAATCTAAAGTGGAGGAGGTAGCTCAAAGGGCTGGGGTACGAGCTTCACGTGTGGGACTCTGGATTTGAGCCCTTGGCACCACATGGTCCCTTAGACACTACCTAGTGATCCCTGAGCACAGTTTGGGGAGAGTACTGCCCAGTGGGACCTAAAAAACAAAAGCAAAATAACTCTGAAAAATGAGGTTCAGAAAGAGTACGTAGCTTGCTTAAGATTACCCAACAAGTGGCAGACTCAGTGTAGATTTATCAAATTTAAGCAGGGACACAAAGTGAGATTAAAATGTAGCTTTCAGAGGCCCTTGAAGGCCATAATGAATCAGATTGGAGAACTCAGATAACCCATCTGTCTATATAACTACCTCCACTTTCCACTCTTGCTCAGCACTCCTGCCTACTTATTCCCTCTCTTTCTAGACAGCGAGAGTCGCAGAAGTTATGTCTAATTTGTTTCATTATCTCACAGTCCCAGAATAGGATAGCTACTCGTTTGTCATACGTTTGTTCACTTATTCATTAAAAAATTTTAAAATTTTATTTTATTGGGTTTTGTGCCACACCCAGCAGTGCTCAGGGCTTACTCCTAGTTCTGTGCTCAGGAATCACTCCCGACTGATTCAGGGAACCATATCAGGTGCTGGGGATCACACCCAGGTGAGCCATGTGCAAGGCAAGTATCCTACAATCTCTTCTATTGCCCCAGCCCCTGTAAGATTCTGTCTTGACACCTAGAATATAACAATGTACAAAAAGAGTTCAGACCCTTCCAATTTTGGAACTAATAGATAATGATACATTAAACACACACAAATACAAATAAACATTTAATGTGTAAACGGGTGAAATATATGGTGTGAGAATTACATATCAGTAAAACTTTTGTTTTGTTTTGGGGCCGTACCTGACTGTACTCAGGTCTTATTCCTTGTTCTGTGCTCAGGAATCTTATCAGGCTTGGGGAACCATATGGGGTGCCAGGAATCAAATTCAGGTTGGATATGTGCAAGGCAAGTGCCCAAGTGCCCTATTTGCTGTACTATTATTACTCTGACCCTCAATAAACTCTTGAACATTGTGGTAAGCTCTGCCTTGGTTATGACTAATTATGCCAAATGACAAAATGACAAATCAAACTAGATGTAATAACATAATAGAATTTAGGGGATGGAGAGATAGCTCACAAGGTAGAGTGCCTGATTTGCATAAGGGGGCTCCAGATTTGATCCCTGGTCCATGTGGTTCCCTAAGCACCTGGACCTACAGTAGTCTCTGAGCATCTATGAGTGTGACAAAAAAACAGACAAACAAACAAAAAACCCTAACATTTGGGGCCAGAGAGATAGCTCAATAGGCTGAACTCATTCTTTCTGTGAAGGAGGTCAGGGTCCCATCACTACATGGCCCCCCAGGCACCCCCTCAGCTCCAGAAATAATCCTGAGCACGACAGGGTATGACACCCCCCAGATTATTAGCATCTATAACTGGAGAGAGCCCTCCCCACCCCAAGGGACCCAGCCCCGGCAGCCGACCTCCACTACCACCAACCACCACCACGCTCCAGGCCACTTTCCAGACCACATGGCCGCAAAGCAGCCGTGCGACACATTATGAGACCTATTTATGCCTCTCGGAGAGCCTGGCTATCTACCGAGAACATCCTGCCCACACGGGCAGAGCCTGGCAAGCTCCCAGTGACATATTCGATATGCAAAATACAGTAATGACAATAGGTCTCATTCCCCT